GTACTGTAAGAGGAAGGACCCCGGTTTACCGCTGCCGCCGTTTTCCCGCCCACGAGTGCGAGTTCCCGCGGAAGCCCAGGACGAGCCGTTGCCGCCTGCCGATCCCGGGAGAGCCAAGGTGCCGGTGAGATCCTCCTCCGTCCGTTTCGCCCCGTGCGATTGCGTCCGGGCCCGGGTTGTTCTGTCGCCGCCGGGAAAATTTCGCGTTTGGTGTCGCCCGGGCTACGGCCCGCCGGCTTTAGAGTTTTCTTGGGTGTCCCGGTCGCGGCGACAAGCAACCGCGGTTACCCCGGAGCCTGCAGGGCACAGGCCGCGTGTGAGAGTGTGAGTGTGAGCGTTCGAGTCGAGCGTCGCGGTCGCGTAGAGTCGAGTCCGCCGACCCGGAGATTCGCGGCGCGAGGGTTGCGTTGCGCGAGATCACGCGGGGTACGCATGCCGCGGGAGTGTCGCGTGCATGCGTGGCGTGAAGGAGTCGCGACGACCGCGAGAGTGTGAACGGCGGTGCGAGAGTTTGCGATACCCCGTGCCGCTTCCGCCGTTGTCGGTGGCGGGTTTCGCGAGGACGGCGCGTCCGGAGCGGGATCCCCTGCCGACCGGCGCGGCCGGCGCGGCCGGGAGCGAGCGAAAGGCTCGCCGTATTTAGCCGTCGGGGACCACCCGGCGGAATTTGCGTTTTGCACGTCGTTGTAAGACGGGCCGACCCGTCGGCCCGTGTACCCAGTCTCGCGGGCTAAGCGCCCCGGCCGAGCGTTGCTCGTGAAAGTTGCGTAATTCGTGTCATAGCAATTCGGGAATGGTTGCGCGTGCGACGGTACTAGTGCCGTTCGCGAGGAGATTATTGTCGAGTGCGTCCGTGTCGTCCGAGTAGGGTTTATCGCGTACGGCTACTTCCTGCCGTTGAGTTCGCGCCGGATTGTTCCGTGTCGCCGAGAGTATCGCGGCGTGTTGTTCCCCCGATCTCGGGGCTTGAATTATTGTCACCAGCGACGCCGCCCGTGATAGCGGCCACTCAACCGGCGCGTTAACGCCGCCTTATATTAAACCCGTTGTTATTTTTATTGAATATTTGAGTTTCTTTTCGTGTCCGTCCCTCTCCGTGTGTTTTGTCCGTCGCGTGAATTCCTTAAGTCCCGTAGCCTCTGGAATCTTGGCGGCAACCACCGCCCCGCCCCTCTACCGTTAGGCGAGCTAGCCTGCCCGTGACGAGGGCCGCTCCATCTCGTTCGTGCGATTTCGCGAGTTTCGCGACGTGACGCGTGAAAGACCGCGTCTGGCGCCCAACCTTCGTTTTTCGCGTGGAGCTTTCGGCCCGCGGCACGGTACGCGCGGAGCTACCGAGATCCCGCTCCTTTCCAGCGCGTTATCACTTCCCTTTTTGGTTTTTGCCGACGACCCGATCCGTCCGCATCCCGCGCTTCTCGCGCCCGGCGACCGTACTCCCCGTCGTCGGCGCGCGTCGCCTCAAGATCCGCGCGCGACCGCGAGAGCGGGACGGCAACACCCGTCCGTCCGATTATAACGGGAGGGCGGAGAACAGAGAAAAGAGATAAGAATTATCGTCGCAATGTATAAGCGGGCCATTGGAGCCCGAATTCGCAGGACGTTTTCCAACGTTCCGACGAGACGAAGCTCTGTCCGACAGCCAAGCCTCAATAGGATAAAGGGAAAATAAGTAAAGGAAGGCAAAGCTCTGCCCGACGATAAACCAGCGAATTCAATCTCTGCCAGTAAGGAGAAAAACGGTGTAGATAAGGTTGCGACGTCCGGAGTGAACATACGCATTTTGGTTGTTCGGAACAAGCTTTGAGCCAGTAAGGCATGCAAACAAGCAAATACTCGGGCCACGACAGCCCCGACATATTGTGTCAATTATTACGTTCGTTTTCTTTTTCTTTATAAGATCCGTTATATCGGACAGGGACGATCATGTTCCCTGGTAGTATCTTGTTCTTTCTTTTCTTTTTCTTTTCTTTAGTCCGTTATTAATTCTGTTCAAGTATCTTTGTTTTCGCGGTAGTTATAAGGTAATTAAAGTGGATACAGCGTTGCAATGGAGTACAATGATGATAGCAACGCAAATGAATCCCAGTGATTAATGGCACGCTACTGAGTACTCCCATAAAAACCAATGCTTTCCACCCACAAGTGTAGCAAACGGGAGGAAGAATAGTGCGCAGCTATTACAAGTCCGTGTGTGCCAGGACAGGACACCGTTACCTCCCCTCCCTACTAATTAACTCACACCTTCCCACTTGTGCGAGTAAACAAATTTAACCATGAGTGCCTTCCGCAGGAAGCCCGATTATGGGCCGGTCCCGCCGCTCAGGGCGGCAGCGCCAGTTACATCGCCTAGTTAAGGCGCACCACCAAGTACGGGTATTTGACCCGCGCGTCTTCGACGTCTATGCCCATAGGGCCCCCGTACCCGAACCACGGGAGACACATCAACCGCCACCTCCTCCCCCTTGTTCTCACCCTCCTCCCTCGTACTCTCAGCCTCCTCCTCCCAAGCTTCCTCCCCCTCGTGAGGGGAAAACTCCGAGACCTCCGGTGCGCCCACCCCCGCTAAGCACCGGCGAGTGCTGCCCTAGACGGGTGTGGAGACCGCGGCCTCCAATCACCCCTCCTCCGCGAGCACCGCTGGCCTCGATCCCGGGCCTAGCACCGTCGCCCGTCTCGGGGAAACCGACGATCGCCCGGGCACCCACTGCGCGCCCGCGGGTAGTCTCCGTGGAACGATTTCAAAGACGAATAAAAATTATTCTCCCTCGGGTCGACGCTCCAAAAGGGGCACGGAACATGCCTCTATTATAGGCCCCTTCCCCCACACATACATCATGTACATACAAATTAAATAAACTAAGCATACAGACCACATTCACACACACTCATTTATACACCCACACGCACACACTGAAATCCTAATTCCTCTCCTCCTTTTCTTTCCTTTCCTCTTCTTGGCAGGAGATTTCTGACGCCCCACTCCAAAAATAAAAACGCGGGACGCGTAATACAAGATATTTTGTAATTTATGTAAAAATATTGGAACTTTCAAACCTTAATAACTCAAAAAGTTCTTAATAAAAAATACTTTATTATAGAGTTTTGGAAAGCTCTCGAGGTAAACTATAAAAATGTGTAATAAAAAAATAGGGGTTCCCGTTTAAAAAACCACTCTGACCTTCAAATAACCTTGAAAAGTAGTCTCAAGGTCAAAGCTAGTTACACAGACAGATGACCCCCATTATCTTGAACAACTTTTGTCTGAAACATTTTTGTCTTAAACTTATATTTTTTTTAGATTTTTCAGGGTTTTCGTACTTTTTCTTTACCCTGTATAATAACTTCTTAATAAACAATGCGCTACGGCTAAATAATTTTGATTCAGAATAATATTGTTATACATAGAATCATAATCTTACCAGCCTATGTCAAAGTATAAGTCACTACAGTAAAATCTCCTTTTTTAACAATTTTTATAATTTAATAATTTAAAAATATATTGATAAAAATATGTTTACCTGTAATTCTTTTCTTTTAGTCCTACATAAGATTGAATTAAGTATAGCTTCGGTGAAAGCCGCTATATGAGACATGTTCTTCATTAATACGCCGATATCATCTCGATTCTTGTACGTACTAATTATCATTGGTATCCATACTGCAAGCAATATAAAAATAGCACTATAATAGTAAAGATTACGAAAAATAAGCTCATTTTTTCCAGCATTTGGATATGGCGGCCATGTATTTGTAAAAGTCCCGAATATTCGAAGGACGTATAACATCCGTTGAAATTTCAAATGAACTATTCCCATGTTATTGTATCAATTCTGAATCAATTTTTATCACTCAAAGTTTTCTTGGTAACTGACATACGTCAAACAGCATGTCAAAGAGATATATAATAATAGAAGCAGTAATTTAAGAAGGACCAGTAAAATCAATAACAATTAATTATTTGTCAATAATTATTACATTCTTGATGAAAATTAATACTTATACCACGATAGAAAATGTGAGAAATAAAGCTAGAGTATGTAGCATGCACGAACTGTTCAATAATTCCAGTCGATATTCCATTGTAGCCGATCCACTTTTTACTTTGTAATTTCTGTAATTTTATGGTAGCGTCTAAATGCTTTTATCAGTCCTTTTGATCGGAAACTAACTTGTATCTTCACATAAACGGGCAATGCTAAATAAGAAATTGTATTGTAATGTACATTATACCATGCTACTAACGATTATAGGATATAGTTAAGTAGTAGCAAGTCTAAAAATTATACTACTTACATGTTGAAAATAATACCATTTTATAAATTATAGTTCATGATGCATTTCTTTTAGTTAATACCTCCCTAAGATCCGATAGCCAGAGTTGTAGGAGTCACGTGTTATCGAGTGACGAGCGGAAAACAACGAGTGATGAACGGTATTAGAAAATATAATTAAATAATTTATAAACATTGCCTGTAAAACAAGTAACTTTCAAGTAAGACCCCTATCTAAAACTAAACAATATATGGTAACACGCCAATGTGGATCGTAGGCAAGATCTGTAGGTAGCCCAACTTGTAAATCTTAAATCTTTCTGAAAATCGTGAATCTGTATACCGTTTCTTTCCACATTAGTACTAAGCGCCGATTTCTTTTCCGGACATAACGCAGATTATCATATACGTGGAAATATTGTCGTCAGCAGTTTCACGTATTCGATTCGATGATTATTTTTCAAATGCAAGGTTGGGGTAATATCGGGGGGCGTCCAGAAGTAATGGCTCTGCCAAGCCCTGGGCGTCCCCCAAGTAAAGCACAGCGCAGTCCACCGTGTGGTTTTAGTGCGGTAAGCCCAGCGGTCGCAACGTCAGCGGCCGCACCCGATCGCCATTAGGGGGGCAGTCCCACATAACTCGGGCCACTTAATGTAAACTCCCTTCCCGGAGGGGGGCCCGGGTATCCATAAAGGATTTCCACACGTAAAAAAAAAAAGGTTGGGGTAATATTTTTCGCAATAAAATTAATTTACAGGACGGGGAAAATGGGGAGAGGGAGGGGATTGAATGCTAAATATAGCATCAGAAAAATGCGAATTGCATTTGAAAAATAATCATCGAATCGAATACGTGAAACTGCTGACGACAATATTTCCACGTATATGATAAACTGCGTTATGTCCGGAAAAGAAATCGGCGCGTAGTACTAATGTGGAAAGAAACGGTATATAGATTCACGATTTTCAGAAAGATTTAAGATTTACAAGTTGGGCTACCTACATCTTGCCTTGCGACCCACATTGGCGTGTTACCAGATATTGTTTGATTGTCTGAAAAAATTGTTCTTCCTTTTTATATAAAGATATACTGGTTATTGCAATAAATGTTACCATCAGTGGTCGAATTGTAAGATGCTCTTCTTAAATGGTACACAGGTCCAAGATTCGAATCCTAGCTGACGTAACGTTTTTGCAATTATTTATCGATTATTTCCAAAAGATGCGTACTTAGCAGCATTAAATAATTTGTCAATTTAATTAAGTATATAATTGTGATTATACTCGTAGCTTAGGGCTGCGTTTTAAAACCGAAAATTCCATTCGGCGCGGTTTAATGTGCACAGAAAAAGATGTATACGAGAATAGAATTAGACATTTAATAAGATCTTACTTGTTAAAGGCGTTCCTATTACTATTGTATTATTCATATAAACGATCGAATACTACTTATTATTATAAACACACAACGCCCATACACGCACGCACGCACGCACGCACACGCACACATACACAGAAAGAGGGAGAGGGGAGGAATGTTCTGCCTGATAATCTGTTGTGGACATATAAAGTAGGTAAAAACCTCACAAGTTCCTATAAAATTTTATTTATAACGTTTTTTTTACGTTTATATATTTGTGTTTACAGTTACACTTTCTACAACATTATTTTTAAATAACTTTTATATCACTCTTAAGATCTTAATAAATTATACTAATTATTTTTTTATTTAGTAAAGATCTTTAACACGATGTGATAGATTTCTTGATCTTGTCGAACAACCAGAAACGGATCAGTTTTTATTCGTCTAATCCAAGAAATTTTTTAACTGGTGTGTTTTTAATTTTATTTTTTTATACAGGGTGTATTCTAATTCGCGCGCTCACCATTTATATAGTGATATTTCTCATGAAAAACTGAGTCGAAGTGTCCCGAACCATTTTTTCGAGTCACACCTCACAAAGTAGTTATTATTATTTAAAAATTAGCGAATTTCGCATCGCTTTTTAAACAGACGCACGTTCGTGAGTCACTCGTCTACTAGTGTGCGTGAGTGAGTCGCCGCGCGCTTCAGCGTTGCCACGGCCGCGTTCACGTAGCTCCGAAATAATCAATAATTGCTTTTGGCAATGAGCATGATATTTTCTACCCAGGAAGCACCTTTTTAGATTACAATTTGATATTAGTTGTACTTTCACATAAGAAAATTGTAAAATGAAATAACTGTGGTGACAGTGCCCCCCGTTCCGCCGTCATCCGAGTTCCGATTTGACCAAGATAACTTTTTACGTTAATTTTTTTCACTATTAAAAATAAAATTTTAAATCTCCAAGAATTCTTTTAATTATCAATTTTAATATTAATAAAAACGTTTTAATAATATCTTAATGCAAAAATGGACTTAAAAATGGATTTAAAGTATTTTTAATCAGAACTGTTACCCTCTTACCGCGCATGTTTTAGCAACTATTATAGATGATGGACTCATCAACAAAACGTGAGGCACTTCGTCTCAGGGCTGCATTCGAAAACACCATCGAAATGTCCTATGTATCATTTCATCCTCATTCACCGAATGTGAAATGATAGGGGCATTCGAGTGATGTTTCCGAACACAGTCCATGCTTAGATAAGCGTCCAGCGTTTTGTTACTTTTTATTTTTCCTTTCCAGTTTATCCGAGTTGATTTTCCGAGATGGTCCTGCGCCACATTAAATCGGATAATCGGGACTCTATTGTACTTCAACGTTAACACTGTTGCAGTCATTATCTTCTTTTACTTTATTTAATTTTTTACACTTACACTTATAGGTCGCAGCAAAATAAATACAATCTTTCTCCTTTCTACTTTTCTGCCTTATTAGAGAAAAATTAAATAAAGTAAAAGAAGATAATGGCCGCAACAGTGTTAACGTTGAAGTACAATTGAGTCCCGATTATCCGAGTTAATGTGGATCAGGACCATCTCGGAAAATCAACTCGGATAAACTGGAAAGGAAAAATAGAAAGTAACAAAACGCATTTATCATGTATCATTTCACATTCGGTGAATAAGGATGAAATGATACATAGAACATTCCGATGGTGTTTCCGAATGCAGTCCTGAGACGAAGTGCCTCGCGTTCTGTTGATGAGTCCATCGTCTAGTTGCTAAAACATGCGCGGTAAGAGGGTAACAGTTCTGATTAAAAATACTTCGAATCCATTTTTATGTCCATTTTTGCATAAAGATATTATTAAAACGTTTTTATTAATATTAAAATTGATAATTAAAAGAATTCTTGGAGATTTTAAATTTTATTTTTGATAGTGAAAAAAATTAACTTAAAAAATCATCTTGGTCAAATTGGAACTCGGATGACGGCGGAACGGGGGGCACTGTCACCACAGTTATTTCATTTTACAATTTTTTTATGTGAAAGTACAACTAATATCAAATTATATTCTAAAAAGATGCTTCTTGGGTAGAAAATATCATACTCATTGCAAAAAGCAATTATTGATTATTTCGGAGCTACGTGAACGCGGCCGTGGCAACGCTGAGGCGCGCGGCGACTCACTCACACACACTAGTAGACGCGTGGCTCACAAACGTGCGTCCGTTTAAAAAGCGATGCGGATTCGCTAATTTTTAAATAATAATAACTATTTTGTGAGGCGTGACTCGAAAAAATGGTTCGGGACACTTCGACTCAGTTTTTCATGAGAAATATCACTATAGAAATGGTGGGCGCGAATTAGAATTCACCCTGTATATTCAGCAGTATTTATTTGTTAAAAGTGCAGTAAAAAATCGGAAATCGATAACAAATATCTGCTAATTGCAAGCGTATCTTGTTTGTCGCTCCACGATGAAATATATCGTCTGATGTGCGTGCATTCGTAGGATTATTAAGAAGATTATAAGAAGATGCAAGGGAGGTTTATCATGAACGGAATTGAACAGAGGGATCTGAGAATGGATGATCGGGGCTAAGTGCCATGGGGCGAAATCCCGGTTTGCCGATGTACTCGCGTACCTTTCCCGTTTACGGTCTGAACCCTCATAGCACTTAAACATTTTTGAAATGTCGCAAAAATATTTCTAAAAGTCCAAATGAAACTAGTGCAAAAGATTTCAGTAAAATATTGTTTTGAAAGATTTTTAAGATATTTTAAAAGATTTTTTAATATATAGGGTGTGCCGCAATTCGTGACCGAAATTTTAATAACGTATTTCTGAGCAAAAAGTAAGACGAAAATCCTAATACGAAAATGTCGAGGCTATAATACTTTTCAAATGGGAAGCATTTAAATAGAGAAATCAGGTAGTTTAAAGTTCGCGCGTTCAGGGACGGTACATTGCACAGTGATAAAGGTACTCTTGCATCTTTACCGATATACCTAAAAAAATTTAAATAATTATATGTATGTACATACAATGATGCTGATGTTATTGATTGAATCATATTTAAACATAAAAAATTAAAAAATAATCCTTAATGAAAAAAGAGATGTGTACCGAGAAGTGTGCGTTGCGAGTCGAAATCTATCGTTTCGTATTGTTGCAGTTTTATGTGGTATCCGATTGGTTGTCGAATGCCGCGGCGATCGAGAGTCCGCGGCGAGTTTCGCGCGCGGCGATGACGATGACAGCCAACGACACGTTTCGCGTCGTGATACACGGGGGTTAGTGGTGTGTGTGTGTGTGTGTGCGAGGGTTAGCGGCGACGCGTCGGATATTTGTGTACAAGAAGAGCGTACGCGAGATTTTATATTTTTTGTGGGAAAAAGTGTCGTGTATGCGAGTGCATACATTTTGACAGGTAGGTTATTTTAGAAATCAATCTTTCTCGGATAAAGACGTTTCTGTATCTAATATTTTAATATTCTCCCAATTAATGTTATAATTATAATAATTTAGTCTTAGGTCAGTGATAAAACGAAATGTGTGGTTAAAAATTTATGTGTTTTATGTATCTTATATTTAAGATTTCAAAGTTAAAGGAATCAAGGAAGAGAGAAAGAAAAAAAAGGAAAATTTCGTTTAATAAAAAGTGAGAAGACGACAGAAAGAAAAAAGAGGGGAAGAGATAGAGTTAAAGAAGAAAGAGGAAGAAGAGAAGAAGGTACGATATTGCAATTTTGACGTC